AACAGCTCATAGATGAAGCTGAGGCAGAGAGATGGACAGAAACACGTCTTCAACCAGGTCAAAAGTCATTTTCATGAAATGTATTCCTACAATCATCAGGTTCACAAATGTGGGATGCTCTGCCATCAAATACTTTAAACTCTGCAGATGCACAACTGGAGAAAGGTTAATAAGGTTCGTTTCTCACTGCAGCGGCACCCTTATAAAACTATCTTTGTCCATTAGCAGCTTGGAATCTTATTTTAAGTGTTGGAGAGGTGCTGGCAGAATGACTGATCCCCTCTTGAAGTCACTTGAAGTTATTAGTAGGAAAAAAAAGTTGCAATCTCATTACCATCTACCATATTTTTAACGTACCTTCCCGGCTTTGTGACGCCTTTGTCACTTGGCACTTCATAGGAATCGATGGCAGCTTCCAAGTCCAGCAGAATCTCTGTGAAAGCAGACAAAAGCAGTTTGGAAGAATCCCACAGCTTCTCATGGTGAACACTCAGATACCTTCTTTCTACCTTAAAGAGTACTTACGCTTGATTTTTGCAATGTTTTCTATTTTTAAATCTGAAACGAAACATATAACAAATTAAACTGAATAACATTTACTACATGGACAGGTTTGTTTAAAACATTACTGCATAGTTTCAGCTTGTGTCACATGCCATAACTCCCACTACTCCCTGTATGTGTAGCTGCAGTGGCTAAGACAAGTTTTCTGACCAGACTTGAGAAATTCCACATTGAAGTCTTCAGTGACAGAATCTGTACGGCTGATTTCTTCAGCCTTCTCCACCAGCAGCCGGTCCACAGCAGTAATGGCTGAAGCAATGTCATAGGGAGTCAGGTCAAATGATGTCGCCTCTTCACACATCTTCTCCTGCAGACGACACAAACATCAGCTCGAAGAGAATGACCACGTCCTCATGAACCTGAATTTATAGTCCTATATGGACGAGACTGCAGCTTGAAGTCAAATTAAACACTAGGTCATCTGACCGTTTTGTTTGTGAGCACTGAACTGCAAGTGTAGAATGAAATGCACAAACTCTTTAGGCCTCAGTGTGCTTCAAAGTTTAGCAGTGGGTACATCCCAAGTCGCTTCTGTGATTGTTCCTACATTACATCCACTGAGGAGCAAGGAGGCTACTGGAGGAGCCATGAGGGAGGATACATGAAACCATCCCCCACAGAAGCTTTTTACGAACCAACACACCCCTTCATCAGAACTCAGTTGATGATTGGATGCTTCAAATGAAAGATGGGAGGAAAGGCCTCTCAGGTTGTCAATAATGTTTTTCTGAGCCCTCTCTCCTCACCGTCAATGTTTTTCTGAGCCCTCTCTCCTCACGTTATGTGGACACAAGGAAAAGGTGCAAGTGAGGGAAACTATGGCCCTTATGAGAGACTTGAGATGTGTCCATGTCTGAACTCCTCTTTCCAGTGATGGAAGCATCAGACATATTCTGTAGCTTTTCAAACAGACGATCACACCCGCTCTACCCAGTAACCGGTGTCCAAAGGACAGAATGTAGACAAGTTCTACTTTTTCCTCCCATTCTTCACAAACAGTTTCAACAGGCCACACGTAAAAAACCAACTAGTGTTCAAAACAACAGTGCTGCAGGTGCTAGTCGGGTGTGCAGTGCAAGAGAAACTCTAAAAAAGAGAAAAAGGTCTTTGGCGCTCTGAAATTTGTTTCCAAATTCTCCCTTTATTTCATTAACCTGTATTGATGAGCACAGAGAGACACCGTCTCCAGTGTAAACAAACCATATTACACCTTCTACCTACACAACGTGACCAGTGCAGGTGCTGCTGATAACATGTTAATTAAAGACTCTGAAGGCCAAATTCAAAGCAAAGCAGAGAAAAACTAACAAGAACTAAAATTAAACTGGACCAAGTAAAAACCCTATACAAGTTACAAACATACATTTACACAACCATGTGTATAAATGTAATTAAATCATATACAGTCCAATATGGTCCACAGCCAACAGTCAATCACTAACACTGTGTGTGTAATTCACAATCAATACTGAGGTTCCAGTACAATCTGGAGACAGTAGCTATGTCCAGACAGTCTTACCACATTATGAGCTTCATCAAAGATGACCACGGCTCCGTTCAGCTCGATGTTATGCGCCCTGCGGCTCTAAGGACGAAAGGAAGCAGAACACCAGCAGTTACTCAGGTGGGTAATGAGAGGGCCAGTCATACTGAAGTCCATGTTGATGCACTTTACAAAGCAAAACTAATCATTTTCAAACTAATTCTTCTGTACTTGCAATTGTCTTGGTCAATGCTAATAGACAGCACTCTGCAGTCTTTTCTAGGCTGAGTCAATTTAAGCGCCCTGCAGAAAGAGGTGGCGCTAGAAAAGCTCAATGATGCAGTGGCCACTCACACTAGTAGGCAGCTGTGAGCCGACCACCTGGGAAGATGCTCGTGCTAATTAGTCACAAATCATAGGAACAGATGCCTCATCTGGGCTTGTGAAGCAGGGTTCAGGCCACTTCAGACAACACACACTTTGGCTGTTTTAATGAAAGAAATGCCAAAACCAAGCAGCAAACAACATTTCACACGCGACATTATTCTACAGTATTTATTTTACCGTTAGAATTTTTGATTTTCTAATTTACAATTAGTGCACCGACATCCGCATCTGCGATCTGGCAGTTTTTACGCCAGATGCCCTTCTGATTCAACCCTATGGGACAATTTAGAATCACCAAATAACCTACCCTGCTTGTCTTTAGACTGTGGGAGGAGTACCCAGAGGAAACCCACAAATAAACACGGCCTCCTCATACACAGCACAGTGATGTCCATGATTCAGCTCACCTTTGGATCCAGTAGGTAGTTGTATGGCATAAAAATGATGTCTGCCTGCTGCTTCAAGGACCGGGAGAGGTAGTAAGGACAAACCCTGGAGAGAAATGTTAAACTTCAGATCGAAATGTACAAAGTGCATGCAAGAAACCATGGCTTGATCTTACTATGCCTGAAGTGAGACATGTTATCAACAAAGCGGCACCACAAAGAACATAATAAAGTGTTATCTCTAAAGCAGCAACAGCAAGATCACAGGAAAACAAGGAAGTCAGTCACTAGCACCGTTTATACTGTCACCATGTGGATTCAATGCCTGGCACGGAGCATGACAGGCTAAACAATCACACTACCTACGGGCAGGTTTCAACTGAGCTGCTTCCTAATGATTAGCTATTAGCGTCACAAATGTGTTATGGCTACAACAAAGGAGTGCTTCATGCAAAACATACCAAATATTCTCTAGCTCAACTGTGAGAATTTGCTGCTTTTCCTGATCTTATCTGACAGTAAAGTGAATATCTCTGGGTTTGTTGTGCTGGTTGGCTAAAACATCATGCTGGGCTTCAGGGAACTGTGAAAACCAGATATTTTACTGACTTGCAGAGAAAAGAATCATCAGATTAACCAATAATGGAAATATCCACACACAACTCTTGAGCAAACACCGTGCACCAGCTGCTTGTGCAGGACAGTATTTGTTAGTGAAACAGGTGAACATGAATGTACAAGTCCCACCTCTGTTTGTTGCCCAATTTGACTAAATCTTCAATGTCAAGTATGGAGTTCACCAAGTCTCTGTCGGTGCTCTTATCTAAAGACAAAACAATACAGATTAATACAAATACGAGTGATTTCAGTTTCAGTTTTATTTGTACAGCTCCAAATCACAACAAAAGTCGCCTCAGGACACTTTATAAAGTTAAGTGGACACATCAGCATTTAACAAACAGATGCTGCGTCACTGCCAGATGTTCTAAACATGTTTTTATATAAACTTTGATCCAGTCTATAGCGGTGGACACTGTGGCAGTCCATCCTGTTTGCTCACATTGTGTTGCCTTTTATGATCTCATTGACATCTACCATAGAAGTGTTACCTTCAACATTGTTGTAGTAAACACATGACCTGGTGGAGACTTTTCCTCTGCACATGTGGACCTGAAAAACAGGCGATTCCATGGAATCAACAGAAAATTACACTCAAACTTGTTTGAACTGGTTTAGCCCCACAACCACAACGTTCTATACACAAGGAACAACACATATTCCCTCAGTATGGACTGAATCAGCACATCCATTAAAAAAAACAGCGGTTAACATTTAAGATGCTTCCGCCTGATTTTGTTCAAAACAGCCCCAAAGTTCCTAAAATGCAGTTTTCTTACCTTGACGTGGTTGCTCTCCTGACGCATCACTTCCTGGTTGATACACAGCTGTTCTCTTGATCCCAGCACACACACCTTTGGTCTGAATCAGCAGAGACATGGGAGTTACCAGAGACGACCTAGCACTGACATCTCAGAAACACAGTACACCAACAAAAGGCCTCTGAACATTTCGCTGCATCTGAAATCACTTTTTAAATGCCTTTATGTCAGTGTCCTTTTTTGTGTTTAGTCACAGCTACAGCCAGCATGAGCACGATGACGGGTCTGCAGCTCTACGCAGACCAACATGGAGCCAAGTGTGATGTACTGTGTGTCGCGACGCGCTCTTCCTATAACCATCGCTACATTTTTCTCAGAGCTCAGATGAATGTTGGTAGGTACTGATCACTGCTGACCGGGAGCACCCCACAAGCTTGACTACAACCCAGGGTAAATCCTAATCCCCTCACTCGACCACGAAGTCGTTCTGGTCCACCATCTTGAAGAAGGTCCCAAAGCTCATATTCCTGCTCTGAGGAGCAAGGAGGCTGCTGGAGGAGCCACGAGCAGGGATACATAATAGGATCCTTTGTGGAAGTCTTTTACTGACTGACATGCCCCTTTTTCAGAAATCAGTTCATCTGGATGCTTCAGGTGAAGGATCAGAGGAAAGGACATCTCATCTGTCCTTGCATCTTATGTGGACAGGACTAAGACAGGGAAAAGATGCCACAGAAGCAAACAGGGATGCAGTAATGTCATCTGTGTGTACCAGGTTGTCCCTTGTGAAAGTTGCCAACTACGAGAGCCGACTGGTCACTCACATTCCATTTTTGTATTTGCTCCTGTGCAGCACCGTCTGTATGATGGTGCAGCATCCATCATACAAAATTAAAGACTATTTTTAACATCTTGTGTCTTTAGAAATAATGGTTTACCTGTATGAAGTGTTCCTCAACTCACTGATAACCTGTGCAAGCTGAGTGTGTGTCCTGGATGCGTAGATGATCTTGGGAACATCCGTGTAGTAGGCTGGTGAACAAAGAAAACACACAATGATTACACTGCATTTCACAGAGTTACATGAAGCTGTTGCAGTTATGGAGTGGTCAGTCTGTTGCTGTTTCTCTTCCAAGATCAACCTGTTGGCTGGTTTTTCCAATTTAACTGAATCTTCCACACTTCGTTTGATTTTTTTAAACCCACACACTTTGTTAAGGCACCCGACAGCCTAAATAAAGAGAATTAAGCAGTTAGTATGAATGTGACAACAGAAGAGGGCTGCGTAACATATCACTCTGGTAATCTGACATCTTTCTCTCTGCACCGTGAAGGGGACAAAACTATTTCTAAAGACTAATCTGACAAAAATGGTTCATTCCACTGTTTCCTGGTTTGATGAACTGATTATTTTCATTGTGAAAGTTAAGCAAATAATACATTACTTGTTTCGGTGTAGTGAACCTTATGCTGCCTTCATGTTGATCTGTGCACTACAGAATTGTAATGTTGCCTCACAGAAAACACAATAACAACAACAAGCGGGTCATCTGTGGCTAAATTAGATAGCCACATACAGTAGGTAGCTAATGCCATGGCCTGTCAGTGGGAGACGGCTAATAAGTTGCTAACATGTAGTGTTACACTCCTTCTGGCTAAATGATGCAACAATAAATACATCCGCAACACCATGTCGGTACAGTTACAGCCGATGTTTGTGTCAAAGTTTAAAGCTGAGACAGTTTCAGAATTAATGGTCACCTCCTTAGCTAATATGAGAAACTGCACATTGAAGCAGGCACATGACAGTCAAAGATGACTGAGACACTCCCAGCACCCGTCTCAGCAACAACATGTAAAGAATCCTAATCAAAAACCTTTGTCATGATTTTCTGTTAAAATGAATTAGCTGATAAACAGCACTGTGCAAAAGTCTTAGGTCACTATTAGTTTAATCCAGGTTGTAATGATAACTTACTTCTAACCAGAAAATACAGGAAATATGAACACAACATTAAAACCAAAATGTTCAGACCCAAACAGCTTCCCCAGTCCAGTCAGTATGCAGTGTGACCTCCATTTGTGCTTAGCACAGCTTGAATTCTCCTGAGCTGCCTGCTGATATGAACATACTCGGTTTGTCACCGTCTGTAGCAGCCGCCCCCCAGGACGGCAGGGGAGCGTCAGGGAACATCTCCTTGCCGCCCAGCCTCTCTGCGATCTTGCGGGCAGAGATGCCATCCTTGACGGACTCCCTCCAGGCCAAGGTGGCGCACAGCAGGCACAAGGTTTTCCCAGTTCCTGTGGGGCTCTCCAGGACCCCATTCAACCTCTGGAACAAAGAGGCAGAGACCTAACGCTGCACTTTCTGACAAACACTGTTTTCATGATTATTAGTGGACGTTAGCTCTGAACCGAACAAAGGATCGTTGTTTCACAGGTATTCGGTTATTTTCAGCACCTGTTGATCCACCAAGCAGCTGTTATTAATACACAATCTTGCATGCACTTCAGGTATATTTTACATCTTTGACGTGCGTTTGATGAAGGTTCATTATTCAGACGTGTTAACGTTTTTAACAGCTGTGCACTGATTTAATTAAAGGTTTCCTGCACGACTGTCCCGTTGATAACCATTAGACAAACTACTGACACCGATGGCAGCTCAGTTGGCTCCGGCGCTGCTGTTGTGTAACTGAACTTACCTTCTCAAGACACTGAATCACTTTGCTCATGTAGACCTTCTGACAGTCATATGGAGGAAAAGGGAAATTCACAGTCACTTTATCCAAAGTCAGCGTAGGCATTGTGTGTGCTAGCTTACGTCAGCAGCGTTAACTAACGTAGTGTTAAAAGTGACGCAGCTTCAGTAAATTCCTCTTGGCCCCGGGTGGACTGTCAAACTGGTTTAAACTGACAACGTTAACACTTAATACCGACTGATTCCGCCGCGCTGGATCATTTCTCACATAAAGTCAGACACTGTTAACCGGTTCCGTGCTTGGCGCCAATTTCCGCTTTCCTTCCAGTCCGCATGCGCACTGTAATGACGTACCCCTGCTGCGTGCTGACGAAACACATCGTTTAAGAGTCAATACCAGCTTGACTGTAGAGATTGAATTTTAATTAGATGCCGATTATGATGGGGCTTCAACTGGACACATTATACAGTCACTTATCTAAATATCTAGACCCCTTCAGTTCTCGCACACTTTGTGTAGATTTAATTTTACACTATATAAAATTACTATTTTTGCCCATTAATCTGGACGTTTTAAAATCAAATTTCTATAAAAACATTTTGTTTTTGAAACTTTTCATTTACTAAAGCATTCAGACCTTTTGCTTAGGCTCCAAACTGGTCAGGTTCCATCCTGTCACAAGCTCTGGGTGCTCCCAGAAGCACAGTGACCTCAGTGACTGGGAGATGGAAGGAATCTGGAACCAGCAGGACTCTATCAAGAGTCAGCGTCCGACCAGACTGAGTAACCGAGCAAGGGCCTTGGTCAGGGAGGAGACCAGGACCCGACAGTCCCTCTGACAGAGCTTCAGAAGTCGTCTACAGAGAAGGTTCCGGAGGATGAGCATCTCAACAGCTTTTCCATCAGCCAGGTCGAGTGGCTAAACAGAAGCCACTGTGAATGAATGGCAGATGAAGCTGCATCTAAAGGACTGAACTCTCTGGGCAGAGCTGCAGCTACTACGTCTTTGTTGTCCATTTTTCTCCATTCAAGTCTTCATATAACACTGCAGGAAAGTTGTAGCTGTTCTACTTCCCTTCCTGTTTCATTCAGTAACAATGAGTAACACTGTAATTATTACAAGGTTTCTCAGTGACTAATGGTACTTTATTGCCTAATTAATGCAAAATACTTCAAAATCTGTTCAAATTTGACATAGAAATATGACAGAAAAAAATATGACAATAAAATCATTAGTTTGATGTTTCTAACCCCACATTGACAAGGCCTGCAATATCAACATAAATCAGTGGGATCAAGAACAATTGTGATTGCTAAATGTCAAACCTCTATTCTTTGTTGTGACTGACCAGTGTCTTTGTAACCCCCGAGTACTGGAAACTAACACGAAGTTGGCATCAAAAAGGTCACTACAGATTTACCTTTCATTAAGGGAAGAATAAAATGTCAACATATAACATCTACACAGTTCAAAAGTACATAATTTATTCTCTCATAGTGAACACAATGATCCGAATGCTGGACATGCTACTTGTCTTCAGCAGAGGGCAGAATGATCTTGTTAGGATCGTAGTAGTTCTCGTCTATGACAGGGAGACCCTCCTTCTCTCTCTGCAGGATCACACGCTCTGCCTCCCTTCTGGCCCACTCACGCATTCTGGAAAACACATAGGTGTTCCTCTAGAACAATTCTGATTGCTAATTTTAAAATAAAGTGCAAACAATTCCAGTGTACTAAAAGTTCTGCCGAATGAGTAATGCCACTATCACTGCAACTCAGATGTTTGAGAAACATCAGAAGGACAACTCATAAGGTTGCATGAAAGCTCTGAATAGTCAGATTATTCCTACAGATACAACAATTCCAGTGTACTAAAAGTTCTGCCGAATGAGTAATGCCACTATCACTGCAACTCAGATGTTTGAGAAACATCAGAAGGACAACTCAAAGGGTTGCATGAAAGCTCTGAACAGTCAGATTATTCCTACAGATACAGATTCATGTATAAACAATTCAATACATGATACACATCTGTTAAATTTATGTAAGAGCCAATCACTTTGTTCTCAGGGGTATTTAGATGCATTTACATACAGTAAATACTTTCACAGAACAATGCTATCATTCATGTGAAGGTGTGTTTGTTTGCACTTGATGACAGTTAAGTCAATATTCACTCTGCTTTTAGCTGTTTTTGGTCTCCACCGACTCATAAAGGAAGTCTCTGACTCTTTAGCTGCTTAAAGCTCCTGTATGTTGACTTGATGCTGTCTGCTTCTGCTCAAAGTCAGACTTGTAAGGGTGAATTTACACAGACATTTGCCCTGCATGAACAAAACAGCTCTTCTCATTTATTTGAATAGGGGAAATGCAGTATGCAGTGGGGACAGCGTCACGGAGGATCCCGCAAAAAAAAAAACAATGCATCATCTGGAAAAAATTTGATCTGTTTCAGCTTTTTTTCTCCAACACAATGTGACATCATCCAGCAAGGTGCTGCAATGGCCAATCTCCTACATGCAAGTGCACATTCCTGGTAGATTGCTTTGTAATGTGAACACCGTATTTCTGTTGTTTACTTTGATACTGTCAGATAAAACAACCACTGTCATCTCACGTGACAGACGAAATTAGAACAGATGTGCAAAGAAGAATTGAGAGCTCACCCATGGTCTGGTAAATAGCGGAGAAATGTTCCTCCAATGACAAGAGCCACTGAGATGCCCATGAAGAAGGCCACCCTCATGTTCCACTCATCCACCACAGGATCGGTGGAGAAGCCATGGTAATCTGGATTCTGCCAAAACACAAAGAGGAGCAAATTATAGGAGAGAGGTATCAGAGACAGTACAGGGCTCAGGGACTTTGTCTGTGTGTGTGTGTGTGTGTGTCTGTCTGTCTGTGTGT